AAAAAAACATGGCCACTAAAAATGGCGCTATTTTAAAATTCAGAGCAAATAGAAAATGTTAAACATATTTTACCGGTGTATCCAGAGTGGCATATACATTCGTATTGGTTCACGTGATCGACGCATGTCGCACCATTATCACATGGACTGCTGACACATTCGTTAATTTCAGTCTGACATCTCAATCCTAGAAAATATAAAAAAAATATTATTTTTCAGGTTAACAGAGCAATCTTAGAAAATAAAAAAAAATATTATCCAAAAACAAAAAAATGGTCACCAAAGTCTCGTGGAGATGAACATTACCAGTGTAACCATAGTGACCCTTGTTTTCATATTTGGTACATACGCCGCCATTGTAGGACGAATTATTGACACAGCCCATAGTGGGAATCTGTTATCGCTATATTAGAATACGAAAACATAAACTGTTATGTAGCGAATAAGAAATAGATTAATCTTTCATATCGTGCTCATTTGCAGTTTGTCGTTGTTTGCCAGTACACATCGTCCAAACGTTGTATCAAGTCACACGCCCTCTAACATAGACAACGCAACGATTCAATATAGAAAATAACATCGATACGTTGTTGGGGGCGCTTCTTGTATCCCATGTGAACAACCATTTTCTTAAATTGAGTTATTGAGTTCAGTGTTAGCAATGATTAATGCAAATGTAAAAAGTATGTCATTTGACAATCGTTGGAGCGAAGAAATATCTATACAACATGTCCAGCAACATATGCGTTTATAAGTCATATTCAAATACAAATTAAGTTACGTTAGTAAATTTATTTTTCATATAAAAATGCGTCTTACAAGGAATCGCAGAGTAGGCGGTTATTCGTTTTATTAATAGGTTTGCCCCATGGGATACGTGCCGATGGGAGATGACTGGCTGATCATGATTTGTCAATTTGTTTTGTGGCTGTTATGAAAAGTGTCTGTCCTCCCTCGATAGTAACGTGACAAGGCTCACGTAACTTTGTTGCATGTGACCAGACGTCTTCTATCAACTTTCTAGTAACTGCTATTTTATTTATGCACACTCTCACTGGTGAACCCAGTCTAATGGACTTCGCCTACACAAGACTTTCTTTGGATTCTCGTGTTCACTTGTGTTGTACATAGAATTAAACTTCCGGATCAATTTTTACTCATGAAAATACTTGGTTGTACTTGGCCAGTGTGTAGGGTATGTGAATATTGCAATTGGGTTAGTCAACATTGGGGTGTGAGTACAGAAACAGAGACCTCCACTATATAATCAAATACTTTTTTGTAGAGCTCATTACATTCGTACCTTTGACTAGATTTTAGCATGTAGGGGTGGACGATCAGAAACTCCGGGGGTGGCAGAATTGAAAACAAAATTCAATTGGAATAATAATGAAAAAACTATTCTGCAGGGATCAATAACAGAAACAAATCTGCACTTCTATTTTATAGAAAAAAATATTATACACAGAGGAAATAAACAAATTAATCTTTGAAAAAAACACAAAACTAAATGAAGGAAAAACATTTTCATAGTTTTTCTGCCATCGCCCCCAGAGTTTCTAAGGATCCACTCGTAACCGGGTAAAACATAAATAATAAGTATATGCG